CTCATCAGCTCTTATCTTTATATTCCAGTAAGTTATTTTGCTCTCACTGTTTTAACAGAAAAGACAACAACATGAAAATCCTTGCATACCTTGTTTGATTGGAGAATTTTAATGTTTTTCATTTATCATTGTAAAACCAAGGACAATTTTATAACTTTTTTGTACGTAGCTGTTACATGTAGGGCAATCTGTCTTTAAGTAGGAGTAAATTACTCTTTAAAAAAAAGGAATCTTAGGTAGTTTTCCCTTTAAGTCAAGTGTCTTGTTGTTTAAATAAACTTCTTGTTTTAAAAAAAAAAAAAAAAAAAAAATTGAGATCAATTGGACAGAAGATTCCTACCTCCCATCTCAAATGCAACACAAAGGACAGACATTCTGAGTAGGTTAAGGTTATTTTCCTGAGGGCACACAGGAGAATTCACCTAAATTAATGCCACCACACACACTTGGCTGTTCAGCTTTTCTGGGTGGCTCTGAACCAACGAGTACTTTCTCAAGGATTTCCTACCTCAGTCTTACAGAGAGAAACTATCAAGTTCATCTGTCCCTAGTGCACCTACCGATCTTATTAGGTAATTACTGCCAAGGTCTCTAAGCGCCACCAAATGGCTTTCTTCTAATGTAGAAGGCTAGTAAGTTCCTCCTGAGAGGTCCCTCCACTGTCAAATTCCAGTCTCCCATAATATTCTAGACCAAAGTCTAACAACACTGTCTGTGAGATTTTCTTATATAGAGAGGAGAGTATGCTTACCACAGTCCTCGAAGAGTGCTATCATTAAGTGTTCTCTCACTCCTTTTATCCCAAGGCTAGGCAGATGAGTTTCACTGGTCCTTTACAGCACCTCCCACTCAGAAATGCTTTCAGTTTCCTCATGACTTTCCTTTGAATACTTTCCAAGCTTTCTTCAGTTCTTTTAAGCAATACGTTTTAGTCAATATGCCTAAAACTACTCACAATTAGACACTAGTATTGAATAAAATGGTAAAAACTACTTCGTTATTCCTATATTTGCTATTCTTATACTTTTAACTTCTTTGTACCCACATGTTACTTTTTATAGTAGGAAATTTAAAAGTATATTAAACACTTCCATGCTTCATACATACAGTACTTAATATCCTTCATATAAACTTCATACAGTAAATAAATATATTGCAATTTAGCACATTGTAGGAACATAGTAAATCCTTCCTAATGATAAATTTTTGCCACTATTACACCTACATTTGGCAGTCTTCCTACTTCCAATATGTAGAAATAGAGATGTAAATATAAAAAAAAATAGTAAACTATAATGACATGTAAATATATTTTTCATCTAAGGAAGACTTCTAAAAGCTAAAACAAAACAAACCAAAAAAACCAGATAAATAGGAAAAGATGAAAATGGTAAGTGGTACATTATAAAGACAGGACTAAGCAGTGCATGGTAGCACACACTATAATCCCAGAGTTCAGGAGGCTGAGGCAGAGGATCAAAAGTTCGAAGCCAATTATTAACCAATAACAAATGCTGGCAGGGTTTTGAGGAATAAAGAACTCTTCTCCACTGTTTGTGGGAGCGTAGATTGCAGCAATCCCTATGGAAATTCCTCAGAAAACTAAAACTAGAGGTTTCACTTGACCCAGCTATTCTCCTTCTGGTATCTTCCCCAAGAAGTTAAAAGCATCCTACCACAGTGATATACAGACACTCATGTTTGCAGCACTACAGTTTGTAATAGGCCAAATGCCCATCAACAATGAATAGATAAAGACACGGATTTTTTTTTAATATAATGGAGAACTACACTGCCATAAAGAAGAATAAACTTGAGACATTTCTAGGTAAATGGATGCACCTTGAGACCATACTCTTAAGTGAAATAAATTGGACACACATTTAAATATTGCATTGTTTCCCTGGTGCAATAAACCAAAAGGGTAAATAAGGACCAAGACGTGTAACAGATATTGGGAAACAGGAAGAAAATGTTCAAATAGGAAGGGGAACAAGGGAGGTGGGGAGGAGGAAAGGAAGGAGAGGAAAAGAAAAAAGTAGGAAAAATGAAAACAAAGCTTTTGTAAATGAGGACAATAAAAGGGGGTGAAGGGAGGGGGGAGGGGAACGGAGAAAAAGAAGAAATGAGATATATTATGTACAAGTAAAATTTCCTATGATGAATGTGATCATTATGTGTACCTAAAATGTACCAATAAAATTAATTTTTTTAAAAACTGGGAAAAAAAAAACCCAAAAGTTTAAAGCCTGGCTGTATAATTTAGTAAGGCCTTATCTCAAATTGAAAAACAAAGAAGGTACAAGGATGTAGCTCAGTACAAAGTTTCTGGTTTCAATCCCCATTACCACAAAAAGTTTTTTTCAAAAAAACAAAACTGCCAGGCGTGGTAGCACACGCCTGTAATCTCAGCACTCGGGAGGCTGAGGCAGGAGGATCGGTACAAGTTCGAGGCCAGTCTGGGCTACAAGGTAAGCTCAAGGCCAGCCTGAACTGCATAGCAAGACCCTATCTCAAAAAGACAAAAAAAAAAAAGAGAGAGAAAACTGAAAGTAAGTAACTTTCATGGTTTCAAAGAAAAAAAATCTAACCTTGACAGTTGTCTTTAATTTTCCTTACCTCTGACTTTAAGACTGCATGGATGGCTTCAATTTCCCTTCTTCCAGAATTAGATAAATCTGTCACAAAAGAAACAGCATATATTGACTATGTGATCAACCCTGTATGAATAAGCAGGCTAACAGGTGCTTTTTGGGGTTTTTTTTGGCAGTGCTAGGGCTTAAAACCAGCTTTGTGAGTGCACGGCAAACACTCTACCACCAGGCTATACCTCCCAGGAATAAATAGGCTTTTTTTTTTTTTGGTTTTTTTTTTTCCAGTACCAGGAATCGAACTCACGACCTCGTGCTTGCCAGGTAGGTGTTGTACCACTGAGCTAAATCCCCAGCCCCTAAATAGGCATTTTAAAATGAATACATTTCACTGAATTTAAATAGAATACTAGCTGATAGGGAATTTATGTCCTGTATCTTTACTCTTTAGAGGTGTTAACATTTTTCCTGTAGGAAAGTAGAGATTTCTATAAATTTCAGTTTTAGCTTATGCTGTAATTTTAGATGAAATTTGTTCAGCTGGGGCTCAGGGCCTTATTTTTAACTTCTTCAACACTATCCAATAATGAAGGACCTATAAACAGAGAAGAAAAATAAAATATTTTTGTTCAGAAAAATGAAGAGGACACTTAAAGCAACACAAACAGAATTCACTAAACATGGGGATGAGCTTGATCTGGTTTTATACATTTTCATTTAAAAGTAGTGACAGCCCAGCAGGGCCAAAATAGCAGCACTAATCCTGTCAGGAAATCATCATCCCCAGGGCGCAGGGAGGTGCGGGGGGGCACGGTCCTGCTATTTTAATTTTTATTTTTCATTACTTAAAGCACTTTAACATTATAAAAAATACTTCTCTTAACGAAAGTTTTATTTCAGAAAAATACAAGCAGCACAGTTGTAAATTACAGTGACAAATACTCTTCTTGTTTTGAAAATCATCAGGTAGGGCTGCTTCTGCAACTGTTTGTATGTCTTGCTTGAAACTGAAAGAACTCTAATTGCTACTCAGACGAGGAAAAAGTATAATCTAATCTGTTTAGGAAAGCAGTTGTTAAAAGCAGCAGTTGTTTCAAGAAGGAATTTAAAAGTGCATGTAGGACCTCTCCCCTGTCCTGTCTCACCCAAATATATATCTATATATATTATATAGATATATAACTTTACATAGCTATATGGCCTGAACTTTTTATGTAAAGGGGAAATATTAAGGCAGCAAAGAAATTCTGTCTCAGTGAGGGAAAAAATACCTACCATTTTTTAATGATTGCCATTTGCTAGGCACAGACCTAGACACTTTACATTCACCATTTCATTTAATGCACTTAAACTCACAACTGGCACACTTATCTCCCTATTTTTAAAAGAAAAAGAAATTGTGCTCTTTGAGGCTAATATTTAATAATTTGCTAAAGATCCCACATGTAATGCATGGAAATGGAGTTTCCATCCATGTCTATCTAATTTAAAAGCCCAAGCTCTCAACCTTGACTAAATAAGTAAGTATGGTGTTTGGTAGAATAGCAAACTTCTAATATTATAAGTATGGATGATTTTCAAGTTGTATCAACTGTGCTATTTTGGAATTGTTTTCTTGTATATTACATTGCTGGGACAAAGTAGACATTCTAAATTCTTCTTAAATGAATAAATGAATGCTATTCTATTTTTTAATAATTAATAAAATAGGTATGAAACAAGTCCTATTGTAATACAAAGGGAACAGAATAAAAGCATTAAGCAGCTCAGCAGCACTCTGATCACCCACTCACACAAATTTTATTGAGCATCTACTATGTACCAAGGAAGACATCACACATTGGTAATATAAAGAGCAAGAAATATATGGTCTCCACCCCAGGCTTCAAAGAAAAAGATGAATTATAGCTCATCAGCAACAGCTGTCAGGGAGACAGCCACACACTTCTGTTAGGAACTCAGATCACTGGCTATCTATGCAACTGCACGGCAGTTAAGAGTGGTTGCATCATGTCCCTCACAGGTGAGCAGGGTTGTACAGGAAAATTGTTTCTGGGGAAAAGAAGTTAGGTAAGAAAGAAAGAGAGAAGGAAAGGCTTCCCTGAAGAGGTCTGGGTTATATGGGTCCCAAAATTCCACGTGGCAGGAGCTCTTCAACAGGTGTGTACATGAAGATGTGTAGACATGGCAATTGGTACAGCAACTATAAAAGACAGGGTGAAGCCAGATGGGAGGGTCCTCAGCCTTCCAAAACTAAGAGATTTGGATTTTATCCTGTAAGTAATAGGTCAAGACATTTTTAAGAATATTTGTTTTTAGAAAAGTAACTAGCAGTACAAAAGAAAAATAGACAGGTACAAAAGAGAAACTGTCCCTGGAAGAGATTATAAAGATGTAACGACCACCGGGCGTAGTGGAGTACACCTGTTATCCCAGCACCCAGGAAGCTCAGGCAGGGAAGTAAGTATGAGTTTGAGGCCAGTCCCAACTGCATAATGAGATGTTGTTTCAAAAAATAACAAAAATAGAACAAAAACAAAAAGGAAAAGTAATAAAGAACAATTCCAACATAGGATGAACAAGATTTAGTAACCAACTGGAAACAGAAGAAAAAGAAAGAGAAAACACAAAGATGACAAAGATGTCTAGTTGAGGAAGTTGGGTACTTAGCAAAATCATTAAGATTGACACTATGGAGCCAGGTATGGTGCCATAAGCCTGTAATCCTAGCTATCTGGGAGGCTGAGGCAGGAGGATCACACTTTTAGGCTTACCCTGGGCAACTTGATAATTTAGTGGGACCCTGTCTCAAAAAAAGAGAGACAGAGAGAAAGAAAAGAAAAAAAGAAGTGGGCAGGGATGTAGAGCCTTAGGTTAAATCTGTAAGGCCTTAGGTTAAATCTCCAGTACTGGAAGAACAGAGGAAGAAGGTAGGAGGGAAGAGAAAAAGGGAGAGAAGAAGGGAAGCAGAAGAGAGGGGAAGAGAGGGAGAGAGAGAAAAGGAAAGCGGGGGAGAAGGGGAGAGGGAGAGAGGGAGAGAGGGAAAAAGAGAAAGAGAGATGGGAGCACCACCACTGGTCAGAATAACCGAGTGGGTTCCTCCTCACACCCGCCCGACACACAGGTGGGGGACGCACCGTGTCTGGTTTCAGGTGAGCAGAGAGACAGCTGCTCTCCCCTACCTGGGACACACAGGGAAACTCATCATTTCCCCATAGTGATCAGTCCCCACTGCCTCTGTGGCCTTTCCTGGACACACGAAGAGGGCCTTCCCTTCTCATCCCACACCTGTCCCATCCGATGCACCCCCCCAGGGGATCCCGCCCACTCAGATGAGTCCTGACGGCTCCCCATCTTCCCCCTTCCAAAATGACACCACACTAGAATTCTAAATGGTGCACTTTCAGACAAACCATTTTTCTCTACTTCCAACAAATAAACATGAAGACTCAAGTGGCGCCTCACACTGTATCACTCAGAAAGCTGAGGCAGGAGGACAGCACATTTGTGGCCAGCCTGTGCTATAGAGTGAGTCCCAGACAGGCCTGGACTACAAAGATTTAAAAAAAAAAAAAAAGACAACACATCATGATAAAAAGGGAGAAGGGGACCCTAGGGGTGTAGCTTAGTGGTAGAATGAATGCTTAGCATGCCTGAGGCCCTGGTTCAATCCCCAGCACCCCCATCCCAACCACTGATTATCACAGAACTCTAGGTCAAAATTCAACAGTAAAACAAAAGGACTCCAAAAATGAGTGAGTATGCCAGGAGTGGTGGCCCTCACCTGCAGTCCTAGCGGTCTGAGAGGATGAGGCAGGACGACTTCAAGTGACCCTAACCTGGGCAACTAAGCAAATCCTGTCTAAAAGTTAAAAAAAAAAAAAAAAAAATTGAAAAGGCAAGGGATGCAGTTCAGTGTGGAGGTCTTAGGTTCAATTCCCCAACACCGCCAGAACAACAACAAAAAGTGAAGGTTGCTAAGCATACTCAAAGTACATTATCTTCCCTATTCTACTGTCAAAAGATGGGAGAAATGTGCAGTTATACATAAATACGTATTTTCAGCTGGAAAGTTTCGATGTGTCATCACAAGGTGCAAAGCTATAAAATAATTGAATAAAAAATCATAGCTACGTTTCACTAATAAGCAAAATACTCAAGATAGGAGGGGCAAGAGTCACCAAATCTGTTAATTATGCATTATTTCAATTATTACAAAAAAAGAAGCAAAACAGTAACTATTTGTCTTGATTGTCTTAACTCTGTCAAAGTAGAAGAAAAGGATCAAAACTCAGATCTTCCTCCAAGCTGAGGGCAAAACCAAGGGTGGAGATGGACGGATCAAGCAAAAGGAAACTCTACTCAACAATTTCAATCTACTTTGAGATAAACTGTCTTCAAAGCGAGGAAGCAGAATTCTTCCCCAGGACCCCAGTGGTTTTTCATCACAGAAAAGTGGTCGAGGCGGCAAAAGGAGGAGGATAAAGAAAAAGAGCAAAGTGAGTCCTGGGTCAGCTGGTGTGTCCTGGGGGAAGGGAATGGGAACCAAATGGGCGTCCCCAGGATCCCGGGAACCACACACGCGCGCGCGGACACACACACGCGCACACACACGCACACGCACGCACACCGCCAGCTGTTACCTTCCACTTCCTCGGTGCCCTCCATCAGCATATCCTTGGTGAAGCTTGAAATCTGGCCAGTGAGGGAAGCCAGGCTGCCCCCCACTTGACCCAGCGACTGGCCCAAGCCGGAGCCTAAGCCCCCGAGCCATGACGACATCGCGGCGGGTTTTAACAGCCCAGTAGGCTGGAAGGAAGCCAGCCGATCCCGCCGACTGTCCTCCGCCGCTGCGGAACGAGCCCGGATCACCACAAGCCGGTCTACCAGAAACGCTGAGGCCCGCCCCGGAGCTTTACCAGGGTCTCGCCTCTAGTGATACAATCACAGCGGCTGAGCCTCCGCTCATTCTCACGACTTCCCGCCCTCCCGCGGCTGGCTGCTTCTCCCGAGGCTTTAGCGACTTTCCCCCGTCCCGAGGGCTGTCCCTGCCAATTCGACGCTCGCCGCCATGACACCAGCGTTCAGAGCAGTAGCAGATCATAGAGAGGAGCCGCAGCGGGGTAGAAGTGCCCTGCGAAGCGGTCGGACCTGTCATTGGCGCAAAGGAGGTTGGGATCGCGGAGGACTGAGTGCGGCTGACCGCCTCCTCCACGAAACCAGCTGAACTTGGCGGTGGGACTTGTACCCGGAAGAACCCCTGGCCCAGCGGCGACCCTGGGTGACAGACGCCTGAAGCCGGGGTGCCCGGGGAACCCTGCGGACCGTCACTGCGTTGTTGAAACTGAGCGTTTTAATCTGGACTGTGAGGGCAGCTTTGCAACGAGACTTGGCCGGATGGTTTCATCGCGCAGAAAGGGACCTCAAAGAACCTGCATTGTTGTATTAATTTCTCTGCGGGGCTGCGCTTGCCAGGCGCCTACAGCAGTAGGAACTGAAACTACAAAGCTATATAAAGGACGGATTGCAGGTTTAAGTGTCTGGGCAGGAAACACAATGTTCATGATTACCTTCCGGTGATTTTTCAAATCTGAATTGAAACTTTGCCTATTTTAACTCACCGACTATGAGCTTTATTCCTGAATCAGACGTGCCCTTGAAATTATAAACCAATATGACTATTAAAGGCCAACAGGTTGATTTAATACAGAACTTCTGTTCTGATGTAAACATTCCTATTAGCTGGGCGTGGTGGCGCAGACCTCCTGTACTGCTAGCATTCGTGGAGGCTGAGGTAGGAAGCCTGGGCAATTTAGGAAAACCTTAAAACCATAAAAATTGAAAGCTTTAAAACAAGCAACAACAAGAAATCCACTCCTATCATGGCAGTGGCAGTAGCTGTGCCGGTGCTTAAACCCCCCTCATCCTACCCACGGGCTACCAGAATGTCCTACTTGTCTGCGGTCTCTCTTAAAGGAAGAAAGGTTGTCATAGGTCACGTGAGTTTCAAGCAGTGGTCCGTGGACACCCAGCACCTCCCCAAGGAGACTGCCACGTTTTCGTTTTGAAAAAGATCCGATAGGGCTGCTTAGCACTGATATGCTGACTTCTCTCTCTTTGGATTTTATTCACAGGATAGGCTATTGCAGATTGCCCTGTTAGTGAACCCAACACTGGGAATGCCTTCCAATATTTAGAATCTCATGCCACCAAGCAGTAATAGTTCTCCCTAAAATCCGAGTGGTTTTAAAACAAAATTTGCAAGCTGGCCGTGGTGGTACTCACCTATAATCCCAACACTTGGGAAGCTGAGGCAGGTGGATCAGCATGAGTTCGAGGCCAGCTTGGGCTACCTAGTGAGTTCAAGGACAACCTGAACTACATGGTAAGACCCTGTCTCAAAAAAAAAAAAAGTTACATCTCATTTTGGAAGTGCTTATTAAATGCTTTCTGTGAGTTTATGCAAAAGACATTATAACCCAAGAGCTAGTTGTACAGGCTTTGGAGGCTGCCTGGGTCTGTCACTTATTAGCTGTGTAGATATTCAGAAGATATTTTGTAGAATATCTTGTAGATATTTTGTAGAATATTGTGTAGAAATTCAGTAGATATTTTTACCTCTGTGTTCATCTGTGATTTATAAAAACGGAGAATGATAATAATGATACTTACTGTGGCTTAGTCAATATTTCTAAGAGCTTGGATCAGTGCCCAGAATATAATGATTTCTATTTAAGTGTTTTTGAAGTTTTTAAAATGTGCCATACAAATAATCAGCAAATTATTAATGTGTCTGCTATTACTCTGGGCAGTGGGAGCACAACAGGAGGGGAAAAAAACCACTATAACGTCCTTGGTTTCATGAAGCTTAAATCCTACTGGGAAGCCACAGATAATAAAATGTAATAAATGTTAGGTGGAGATGACTACTGTGTGGGATGGAGAATAAAACAGGGTAAGGATGCTATGGGAAGGACATGGGAAGGGAAGATACTTGTAATGTTGTACACTCAGAGGGTAATCAGAGAAGACCTCACTGATAAGGGAATCTTATCAGAGACTTGAAAGAAATAAAAAGAGTGAGAGATACAGGTAGGGGAAAGAGCAGTCCAGGTGGAAAGAAACAGCCGATGCAAACATGCTAGGACAGAACTCTTGTCAAGTTAGAAGATTGCAGGAAACCAATGATGGCTAGAAGAGAATGTGCCAGGGGAAGGCTGTAAGCAATGTGGACCCAGAAGGGAAGGGGGAGCAGATCACAGAAAGCCTGGTAGTTCTGGCTTTTACTCATAGTAGGATAGTGAGTGACACGCATTTAGGACCTAATGGGGTTCCTAAATGGGTAACTGTGAAAGTTTAGCTACTGTGATTGAGCTCAGATTTCCTATAGGTATTCTCTCTCAAGTTTCATTTCCATGCATCCATGTTATGCTGTAAAAATACTGTGATTAATGAGAAAAAACACAAACATATTCATATCATTTATTAATTAGCACAAAAACTATATCTTAAGAAGTCCTTTAAAGGAGTTTTTTTTTTCTTCTGTGAGATGGACGATGCCTCAAGAAACTTAAAGTACCCTGATAAGGGGCTGGGGATTTAGCTCAGTGGCAAAGCGCCTGCCTGGCAAGCGCAAGGTCGTCAGTTCAGTTCCCGGTACCGGAGAAAAACAAAAAAAAAGTACCCTGATAAAAACATGACATGATGTGTACGATGTACTTCAAAATAATGGGGATAAGGTATGCAAAACAAGAATTGTCAGGAATTGGTCATTATTGAAGTTGGATGATGAGTATGTAGGAGTTCATAAAACTAGGCTTTTGCTTTTACATTTTTAGAAATTCATGTAATAAAAAGAAGTTTGATAATGTTTCAGCTAAAGAAACCTTTTCCTTTTCCTGGCAAATAACCCCTCAGCTAATATGGGTATTCATCATCAGTCATTGGGCAACGTGACCAACCCAAGACAATCAAATACATCACATTGGGTAGAGCCCCTGGACCACAATGGCACCACTAGTACCGTTTAGACTTCCCAGTTGAAATTATGTTCTTTGTTGTTGCTTTTTTTTTTTGGTACCAGGAAACAAAATCAGGACCTTGCACTTGCCAGGCAGGTGCTATGCCACTGAGCCATATCCCTAGCCATACCCAGTTGACATTGTGAATCCAGGAAAGCTCTGTGGATAAAAACAGGAAAAAAATAGTCAAGAATACTACCAGCTGCAAGCTGGTTTCTGTCTTTCAAGCCATGGCATCATCAATATTCTTTTTTTGTTGTTGTTTTTGTTTTGTTTTTTGAGACAGGGTCTCGCTGTATAGTTCAGGCTGCCCCTGAACTCACTATGTAGGCCAGGCTGGCCTCGAACTCTCAGCAAGCCTCCTGCCTTAGCCTCCCAAGTGCTGTGATTACAGGCGTGTGTCACCATGCCCAGCTATCAATACTCCTGTAGGGAAAACACTTCTAAGAAAACTATTCCAATGATAGTTTTTATCTATGCAAATGTAAAGCAGATGATCATCTTTGTTTTTTGTTTTTTTTTTTTTCTTTTTTGGTTTTTCTCTGGTACCGGGAACCAAACTCACGACCTTGCGCATGCCAGGCAGGCGCTTTTGCTGCTGAGCTAAATCCCCAGCCCCCAGATGATCATCTTTGGAGTAAACTTTAAAATATTACTTTGATATTTCCCTCTACATTTTGAAGTATTATGCTTATAACTGCCATTTTATCATTAAATTTGGGTATTACTGTCTCCATTGTGAAAAATAAATATTTCATATTCTTATGTTTCTCCGTGCCTCCACTTCCCCTCCTTCTGCACTCTCAATATAGTGATATCATAATTATTGCTAAAATCAGTAACTAGTGTCTATCTTATGTGGTTACCTAAGTCTTGTTCATTGCTCCCTAGCCAAGTAGTGTACTAAGATTATATCTTTAGTTTTCATCTTTTGTTCTTCCTGAAGTTGAGATTCCGCTTTTTAGATTTGCATAATTTTCTGTTACTGCAGAATCACTACAAGCAGTGGTGAAACCTAGTAGCAGAATTGTGAAACATACTCCTACTTCTGTTTTTAAGAAAACATCAAGAATTCTATCAACTGCCTAGAGTTAGTACTTTTTACCCAGAGCTGTGTTTTCCTGCTCTAATCTCTGGTTATTTCTGGCCTTGTTTTTCTTCTGGTAAGCTTGTCAGATCACCTGTGTATCTCTGATGCTCTGAAATTAATAATGATGTGCTTTACTGTGGGTAATTTTTGTTTCATTAATCATGCTAGGTGCTTAGCCTTTTCAAAAGCTGTGTCTCTCAGTTCTACAAATTATTTGAAATATTTTTATTGATGAATGCCTCTTCTCTAAGGAATCTCTTTCTTTCAGGGGCTTTTAATCAAAATCCTGTTCTAGTCCACACCTCATCCTCACTTTCCAGGATACTTGTTGCTTTCATTTCCTGGGTACTGTTGGACATTCTTCTTTTACACTTAAGTCTTAAGGCTGAAACACAGTTGTCTGATACTGGTGAAAAATGCATAAATTTAGCAGGAAGGAAAATAAAGTAAGGGGTGGGAATCTTGCCTAAAATTCTGATCTGAAACATGTTTCACAAAATTTTCAGCCTTAAAATCCAGCCAAAGGCTGAGGATATAGCTCAGCGGCACAGGTGCCTGCCTGGCAAGCTCACGGTCCTGAGTTCAATTCCCAGTACCAAAAAAAAAAAGCTCATAAAATCCAGCCAGTTCTCCTTCTACACTTTTGGTGGGAATGTAAATGAGTAGCCACTATGCAAACAAATGGGGAGGTTCCTTGCTGTACCTGTACCAGCTCCCCACAATTAATATAATCATTATCACTGCAAACATGTAGTAATAAAAATAAAAATAAAAAATACCTAAAAACAGAGTTACCATTTGATCCAGCTATGCCATATCTTGGTATGAGTTCAGTATACCATAGAGATACTCCCATATCTATGCTTATTGTGGCACAATTCACAATAGCAAGACACAGAACCAACCTAGGTGCCCATCAAAGGATGAAAGAAAAAGAAAATGTGGTTCTATAAACATAATGGAGTATTACTCAGCCATTATTTGGAGGAAAATAGATCTAGAGAGCATCACATTGAGTGACATATACTAGAATCAGAAAGTATCACATGTTCTCCCTAATATGTGGAATTTAAGATGACACAAAAGTAAGAGGGAAGCTATCATTAGAAAAGAAGAATAAGAGGGAAGAGGGCTTCAGACAGGTAATGGGGAGATGGAAATGATCAAAATACATGTGTTATGGTTTATGTCTGTGTGTCCCCCCAAAGCCTCCTGCAGCCCTGGGGCAGGCTATTAAGAGTTTGAATATGGGTGTGAGAGCTGCACCCGCCCAGGAGTGGATAGTTTGCATATGTAAGGGACAGGAAAAGAGTGCTTGGGGCATTCCTCCCCCATTCCGCCCTGGTGAGTGCTTGCGGGTTAGCTGTGTGCTGCCGCCCTGAGATGCAGCTCGCTGCAATGTGCCACTCTGCCTTATAATCCTGCCAAGTACAGATTAAAACTTCCACAAACTGTAAGCAAAATAAACCTTTCCGTCCTTAATTTTGGGCATCAGGTATTTTGTCCCAGCAGCGAGAAAAAAGTAACCAAGACAACATGATACGTGTTGAACTCTCCCTCCACCAAAATGTGAGACTGCAGGGAGGGTTGGGAAAGGGGTGTGATAAAAAATGATCAAAGTATGTTACATGTGTGTATGAATCTGCCAGAATGAAGCCCATTAATCTGTATAACAAATACACACTAATGAAAGATGTGAAAAAAATTCCACCAGCACTTCAGGGTGCCTGAAGTGAACACTGGCGTGAATTTGTAGAAAAATAAATAATAGGCATTTAAAGTGTGTGTGTTAAGCTAGGTGTGATGGCACATCTGTGATCTCAGCTACTCAAGCGGCTGAGACAGGAGGATTGCAAGTTCTAGCCTATCCTAGACAACTTCTTTTTCTTTTTTTT